CACTCCAGTCCCGGTTCCTTGTCTGTATATCACGTGATATATCTTCCAGATACATTGCTCGTCCACTATTTTATTCTACAATTCCCGTTTTTCCTTTTGGCCACCTACGTGTGGAGTATGTGCAAGAACAAGGGAATCATACCTGTGTAGAGCTTATGTATAGGCAAAAACCTGTAGCAGCTACTTCAGATACCATTGCTTTGATGCTATTGGGTTGATTTCATGCTCTCTGAAGCTTGTTAAAATTCCACTACAACAGATTTCACTATGAATTCAGTATGATTTGAGTTCTTTTCTCTCTCTCTCTTAAAAATTTCTTGAGAATTATCAACTGTAAGGTTTTATATTGTTCTTTGTGTCACTACACCTGGATGTCCTTCACAGCTCAGCTTCAAATTGAGTCTTCATATGAATTTCGTAATTATGGACAATGGTTGCCGAGTGATTTCTCACTCGATTACATATCAAATCAACTTGGCTGGTAGAATACACGAAAGCTCCAAGTTGCATATTACTGATCTCTGAGAGCACAGATGGATGGATCGCCGCACCGTAGAACCCGCGCTTTGTCCGTACACTGGTTTACTCTGGATAGTATCTAGACTCAGCTACATAATTGCTACCTCAAATGTCGAGAAACTTTGGAAGAGTACAGAAAGACTCTGCTTTGTCACACAACAGCCATGTCATACGAGCCACATGGATGGGTGCCATTTGGCGGCCTACAGTTGATCCCGAGTTGATCAATGAGCCATTCGCAGATTTCGAAATCCAGTATTCAGACAGATGTGTCATTATTAGTAACTCGAATTCTGGAAGTTGCCCAGAGACTGACTGACACGCTGACTCCGCCCATGGAGCATGCGTCATCAGAATTCTTAAGGCTTATCGTATCCCCAAAATTCGCACAGTGGTTAACAATATACTTCAGGGATAGACTTGGAAATGTCACAGTAAGGGGACTTAATGGTTCCTAGTATTAACTAATTACTATGGGCTAGGCGATGTCCGTCCGACACGTCCAAATCCTTGACTTAGACCAGATTGTCTGGTGCACAAAACCATTCACTGCCCTAATTTCAGATTCCTGGTCTTCATGTCATGATCTCTAGGGGATTTTGATTCAAGAGTCAATGGCTTTGGGAATAGGTCTGCCTCTACGGAATCCTCAGCTCAGATGACGCCCCTCATACACCTGTGACAGGACCCCCCCCCGTCGCGGTCGCAAGCGATGGGAGTGTTTTCGCGACCTTCTGTCCAGGTAGGATAGGATGGTGTCAGAGGTAAATGAGTGTATGTTCAAAATAATCCATGTGTTCGAGGAAAAATTTGTGTGGCCGGGGCCTTTATCTCGGCGAATTGGATACGTGCTTAACCACATAAGCTGAGGAAAACAACACAACACTGAGCCGCATCGGTAGTTTGTATGTCTGAAGTTGCAGGTTTCGAAGTACAAATGAGGGACGCCAGTGAATTTAAAAAAACATACAGGGAAAGGAGGTCCCTTGGTGTGGTACAACGTCCAGATGCAGGAGAACCAGACAGACAAAAACAGCCTGGGCCACACGTTTCAATTCTCATTCTCATTCCCATTCCCATTCTCATTTATTGGTGCATCAAATGGTCCAATTTACCGGATTGGGATGGGATATTGCTCTCCGTCCATTTCGGAGACAACAAAAAACAGCAATTGTTTGACGTGGAGAGAGTTCCCGAATAGGATGGAAGGGTTGAGGCAGTTAGGGAGTCTACTGACTGCGCTCGTATAATGATACCAATCCTTCAGAATCTTTGAAGGATGAGAGTTGGCTCTCCAATAACCCGTCTAGCTCTTGAAATTTTCTCAGCGTGCTTAGGTGGACTTTTGGGAGTGTGTGCGACTTCCACGCAGCATACTGAAAAGAAGGACAAGACTGGATGGATACCTTGGCTCGAGGCAAACCCCCAGAGGCGAAAATTCGTTTGGTAAAACTCCCAGCAAAGGCGAAATATTCCAAAGACGGATACCGGACTTAAAATGGTCTCGGCAGACGGGGGGACACAAAAATTCACCAAAAAATAGACAAACACAAATAGGTATGTAATACATTGGTTCAAAGATATTTTGACAAAATGAGGTTTCACCGAACGGTGAATTGGAAGTATTTTCACACCAAGGCCAGACAAATGGTGAGGTGCGTCACAAAGGGTTTATGTCCAGAGGATGAGGAGGACACGGAATATTATCTTCCGTAAACCGGATCCATTTTAAACTTCGATCCTTTATATCGTGTTTTGTTTCATTTTGTGGCAAAAGAGAAAAAAATGCCTTTCGATGACTTCGGCTTGAGAGATATTTAAACTATATCTGGCAGAAGCTTGCTTCGAAATTTTAAATTTTAACACGATGCTGCAGAAAGATGTCAATTAAACAGAATTTGTGAATTTCCAAACCGCAGATATAATGCAAAAATAGCTGATAACGCCTCTGTGTTCTAAAAAATGGTGTTAAATGACACCGCATTTGCCGCTTCAATGAATTCGAGTTTGCGATTTTTTCGATTCCATGGAGGGGAAGACAGGCAGGATGCAGGAATCCTGAATGGAGTTATCGAACGCTGCGGTTTGCAGCTGCAAGTGTGCGCATTGCACAGTCAGGTACCTATTAGTATCTGCGTGAAGCTTCGGCAGATGGCAGGCTATCATTAGTTTTATCCAGTTTGGAGTTGGATCGTTTTGTCTTCCCAGGAGGAGCGAAAGTTTGAGCAAACTCGAAGGGCCCCAATAACTAGTAAACATATAGCAAACCTTGGGGAGATTGCGCTCGTGTCCGGAACGTCCCCTTCATGCCGAAACCCTTTTTCATTTTTGCATCTTATATTGAATAATTACTGACTGTGGCCCCAGCTGCAGAACTTATCATACCACGTCGGTCATCCGAACCCCTCCACTGCTGATGATGGCGGTTCGATTTGCAAACGCAATGGGTGCCAATTACAAAGAGACACCGTCGCATCCGCGCGTAGTCGCATCGCTGCAGTTCCCAGCATTTTCGGTCATTATAGCCCTTCGTAATGTTACACCGAGATCCCTTGAGGCGGGTTATACTGAATCAGAGACGGATGGTATCCCTGGCTGCCCGAAATTATAACTAACCCGATCGTGCTTGTGTCTCCGTCTTCTGTTAACTTTAAGAGAACCTCAATGACTTGCAAATATGTTGCACGGAGAGGAGAACAGTAACTATGTTTGTGAAGATGCTTTTCGCAGATCCAATATACGTGCTCAAACTTATCTCTAAGATCGGCCTCTGGACAGCTGGGGGATACGTCGGCATCCTCTTCATCTCTCCATTTGTCGCAGGCTCGTATTTTCCATCTCCGATGATGTTCCGGGTTTAACTAACAGAAATCATTGTGCAGCCAGCCTTCTCCGGATTGCCTACTTGGTGACCGGGACCCGACCCGGGGGGGCACCTCTCTCCACCATGAAAAATGTATCGTCATTTAACTCAGGGAGAGACCGCGAAGAGATCAATAAACGCAAGCTAAATGCGGATTTACCACTCTTGAAGCGGGTTGTTCAAGAATCCGTTTCTTACACCAGTGGACTAACCGCCGTGCTTCTCCAAATCGCTCACCCCGGCATTGCAAAAGGGGTTCGGAAACATAGCAACTTCAGTACCCGCCTTCTAGAACGGACGCAGAATACGGCCATCTACATAAATGTCATGGCATTTGGCTCTGAGACAGAGAAAATAGCTTTCCGTAACTTTGTCACCCTCGCACATCGAAAAGTAAACGACAACCGGACAGAGAATACCTACGACTCGATGGATCCACAGCTGCAACTTTGGGTCGCCGCAACGATATACATGACCATGCTGGGCAAGTACGAAGCCATAATCAGCCGTCTCTCTGAACTAGAGCGCGACCAAGTGTACCAGGAATTTTCGACCTTTGGGACAGCGTTGCAAGTCCCACTGTCCCTGTGGCCAGAGAATCGCACAGCTTTCCAGAGATATTGGGACAGACAGATTGCAGACCTCCGGGTTCCTGACGACGCCCTCTATGTTGCTCAAGACATCTTTCATCCCAAATACGTCAATATTCCGCATATCCTCGCCATAATCCTCTTCTTCAGACACCCGCTTGAGATGGCAATAGCTACAGAGGAGCTTCCTGAACGTGTCCGGCAAGGCTATGGCCTCAAGAGCACCTGGTGGTCAAGAATCCGATACGCAGCTCTCATAGCTTTCTATAAACTGACGTATACGCTATATCCTGAATCGGTCAGGACATGGCAACGAGATTACTATTTATGGATGATGAGGCAGCGATTCGCCAAGAAATGAAGAACACGCAATGGAAGGCCTATCTCGTTTAAGGCTCTTGAAACTAGTTGGGAAGGTGTCTGCGATATTACCAATTGAATTTGTCTGATTTTTTGGCCTTATGTATCCTTGTTGCCCCGGGAAGGAGGGAAAATTAGGCACTGCTCATCTTCCAGCAACAGAGTAATTTGGCTCTTAAACCCCGCCAGCATCCAAGGTATATCTTGCCAGCTGATGGAAGGGATGTTAGACATATCCTTCTATGGAAGAGTTTAGTGGCTGATTGGATTTTCTCCGAAAAGAAAATAGGGTACGGAAGTACAAGTCCGGCTAGAATTCGAGTTGCTTGTGTACACATGTATGCACCAAGTTGCTATTGCGTATGATCATACCCTGGCGAGTTTCGAAATAAGAAACTCTCACGCATGATCTTTTGAAGGGAGCTGGAAAAACTTGACAGACATGATTAATTATTATTGAAAAGAAAAAGAGAAGAAAAGAGAAAGTACAAACGCCAAGCTACCTAGAACACCTTTCACCTTACCCATAATAAATAAATCAAGACAGGAAGAGATTTTTTCTGAATAAACGGGATATATGTTTCTGTGGAACAACCACCTTCTATACGAACGTCAACTTCCAGCCATCCCTAAACCTCTAAAACTGAAATAGGGAATGGACTAATTAAACAACCACAACAGAGCACTCTAATCTTCCGTCCTCCGTTTAAATTTTGATGCATGTTTAGGCTGGCTTCCATAAGTCCGGCGACCCTGTTGCTTCTTGTCCCGGCTCATACTTGCAGCAAGCGTAATATCTACACGTGGTGGAGTGGGGAAACCAAAACTCTTGGCTACCTTGACAAGATCGAGTTTGTGGACGTTGAAGATGGAGCGCAGGGAATGCGAGGCGTAGGCTTGTAGGTAGGATCTGTAGCCGTCCTTTGCAGACTATATTTTAAGTGCGAGTTAGTGGAAATGTAGTACGGGAAAGAAGTGGTGTTTTGTTAATATATGCTTGTGTTTACCTTATTCAAATAGTAATTTTGACCAATTAGTTTCTCCAACTGAGATTGGACATTGACAATCTTCTTCGCGGGGAAATCGAACTCGACGACAGGGACACGGGCCTCCTTCAGGTGTTTGAGGAAACCCGCTTCGGAGGGTTGCAAAAACATCAAGCTTCGGCCTTTTCCGTTCGCACCGCGAGCAGTTCGACCAACCCGGTGGATGTAGTCTCGAGGATCATCTGGGGGATCAAATTGCACAATCCAATCAACGGCGGGGATCTACAACATTCACATTAGATAGATTCTATTCATCAGTTCAAAAATCTTGTTCACAGAATAGACTTACATCTAAACCTCTCGCGGCAACATCCGTACATATAAGCGTCCCTTGCTTCGCATTGCAAAATTCGAAAAACGTATTCGTGCGCTTCTGCTGTTTCTGCTTGCCATGGAGGTCGAGCACGGGGAGATCGATATAGTTGAGCAATTCGGCATGATACTTGACGCAGTTACAGCTGGAGAAGAAGACTATTATCTTTTTTTTCAGATTCCGCTTCAGGAATGAGAAGAGAAGAAGGAATCGTTTGTCAGAATCGCAAATAACGTAGCCCTGTTCCAGACCCTCCACGGTGCTGTACTCCTTGCGGTGGTCGACATTGATATACAGCGGTCCTGGTCGCAGTGAAATACGTGCGAGGTCTTCAACCTTCGTCGTCTGGGTGGCGGAGAACAGCATTGTCTGTCTATCTTCAGAGGGTAGAATCTTGACAATCTGGCGCATTTCATCCTCGAATCCGACCTCTAGAATTCGGTCCGCTTCGTCGATCACGAGAGCCTTGAGATTCCTAAATATAAACCCTTGCGTATTTTGCAGGTGATCCAGCAAGCGACCGGGTGTCGCAATAAGTAAATTTACACCTTTCGCAAGCTTCTCCGCCTCAGCTCTCCTATTGGCGCCTCCAATAACAATGCCGTAAGTTTGGGAATGGTGAGCCATGAGTTCTCGCGCGACACCGAAGATCTGAAGTGCAAGTTCTCGGGTTGGTGAAACAACGATGACCCCCGTTCCTAATCAGATCCGTCAGTTTAACCGAGCCTTTTCTCGGTAAATATATATAAAACATTAATAAGAGAGAAGCGTGAGGCATATTACCATTCCTAGGCTTGAATCTCAATGCACTTAACATCTCAACCGCAGGTATCAAGAACGCCAACGTTTTCCCCGAACCAGTCTTCGCAGCACCCAAAACATCTCTCCCCGCTAAGAGCGGAGGTATGCCCCTACGCTGAATTTCAGTCATCGTCTCAAACTTCATATCTTCAATCGCCTTCATCGTCTTCTCAGAGAGATTCAGCTCTGAGAATTTCTGTGGCTCAGCCTCAGTTTGTGGTAGTGAGACAGCATTCAATGAAGGTAGTTCCAACTGGTCTCCATTTGTTTGTCTGTTTGTTTCCCCCTGAGACTCATCCTTTTCTTCTCCATTTTCCTCGTTCTCATTTTCCTCCACGTCGTCTGATTCCTCAGTCTGCTTAACTAAGTCATCGAGATGCTCCCTCTTCCCACCATTTCTCAAAGCGGAGTGGCCAGTCTTGCGTTTCTTCGAATCCTTCGGTACTGCAGAAGGGGCAGCGTTGAGAGAAGCATTTTCTGGTACGGTTGCTGATTTGTCTCCTTTACCCACGCCATGCTTTCTTTTCCTCTTTTTAGACAATTCCGTTTCCATCGCCATTACGCTTCCCCCTTCCAGCGCTTCAATGTAATTGTTGGGTATCTACTTTTTGTCGTCAACGAGTACTTTGTTCACTTATTCTTTGCGATAGCTTTGAGACGCAAAATAAAAATTAAATTATAGGGCAGTTGGTCACGTGGTTATAATGGGAAATATGTCTTCGGGCGGCACGGATTAACCGTTACCCCGGCAGTCGCTCCCCCATGTTAAATAGTTGAGCATAATTGGCAACATCGAATTGCAACACAACAACTAATTTATTAACCATTTTGGCATGTTAGAATGCAATTCACAATAAAAATTAAAGAAACTTTATAGAAGTAGAGGACAGGACTCTACTTGCAACTAATTTCTAAAAATAATAAAATTATACAGTGAATTAAATTATACTTTACTATTCATTAAATAGTTATTTTTTTAACAAATGGATTTATGAATAAATTCATATTAATTAATTAAAACAAAGGAAATAATATTTATAATAAATATTAAGTCTAATTAAATAAAATGTCATAAAATAATAATAATAATAAATATATTATATATATATTTTAAAAATTAAAATATTAAAATAAAAAATAAAAATAAAATATTATTAATTATTATATAATTAATAATTATAATGTAATTGATAAGTGAGTCAATTACATAAGTAAGTCAGCTACTTTCCTTCCCACTGTACAACAAGAATGTCTTCAAAGTCTCAACTATAAAGAAAAACTAGCAAATTACATTATAAATTATTTTCTATATGCTTAGAGCATGTATGAGCAGTATGCTCAATAATCCCACATACACTACACCATGGTGCTGTATATTTTTATAGTCACAACTCAGCAGCTTTAACTACCCTCTACTCTTATTTATTGATTCTTTGTATACAATTCAAGCCTTCTTCAACTCTCAAAGCATTCTATTGAGCTACATACATATGGCCTCTTTCTCACTTCTTTTGTTTGGTATTTGTAGCTCTTAACTCCCTGTTTTCAGCTACTAGAATAGCAGCACTGTACATTATCATTTGACATTCTTTGACTAACTGACTTAGGATATGATTGATTAGACTGAATAAGCTCTGCATATGATACTTGATATATTCTTTAACTTTCTCAGCCTGCTGCTTTAATTGATGTATATTATGTGGTGTAGCTGTGGCCCAGGAGGCCTGGGAGCTGTAAAAGATCTCTGAGAGGAGTGAGGATATATATCATAATATTAAGCTATGAGAGAACTTGCTCAGAATCATATAGAACTAGCTCAGCAGCTTTAAAGCTACTTTTGATGTTGCTTTTAGTCAGAACCTGCATCTGAGCTGCAAGATAAAGACTCAAAAACTCCTTCTTATCAATATGATTGATTTTAAGCCACATTTGGTTTTCCAACTGCTATCTATATGCAGTTTTCAGAGGTGAGAAGTAGCTAACATCCAATAGCTGAAGAAGATAAGAGAAATATGATGACATGTAGAGGATAATGATCTGATTCTCAGTATAAAATTAATCAAATCCAGTTGAGGCATAGCTTTAATGTTAATCTAGAATCAACAGTTGATATCTGCTCTTTGTACAGAGTAAAATCTCCTTGTTGAATATCTCTTTCAGTCTGTATAAGCTTAGCTGGTCTGTAGTTCAGTTATTCTCACTGACTTTAATCACTCAGTCACATAGTAGTCCTTTTATCTTATACAAGTAGGATTGATATATCTTTTCTTTGAGAATAATCATTATATGCAAAGCTCAGCTAATTGCATTGAATTTAGCAATAATAGTCACTTATTTTCAATCTTCAGACTGTACAAGCTTGAGATTCTCAGCTTTTTCAGATTTAGTCATCACTTTGACAGTCTCAATTACACTCATCTGAAACTCAGTCTCATTAAAGTTGTAGATATCATCTTTCAGAATCTCATACCTTATAATAGTATTTTATATAAGTGTAAATCACTTACAGATAATCTTAGAATCCTCACATAATACTCATTAATAATTATACTTATGTGAGAACTTGTATTTCAGCTTATCATGATACTTGATAATGTTTTATACTCAGTATTCACTCACTGTAAGTGAGGGATTGAATCCTTATCTGACAAGAAAAAGATTAATCATTTCTTATATAGCTGCAATTTAAAAAGACTAATTTCATTCATCCATGACCAGAATTCATTAAATAAGAAATTCTTCCTCTGTAAAACTAAGTTTCTAATTTTTTGAGAGAGTGTTAACATATGCTATATGACCATATACTTAATCACTTAAAGTGAAATGTGAAATATTATACAGCTTTGCTGCAGCTTGTACACTTGAAATTTAACCATTTTTAAATATTTAAATGATTAAAAGAAGTCTTTCTTCCTGAGTATAAGCTTTATTTCTTTGTGTGATTGATATTTTTGATAATGAAGATATTGTTCTAAGATGAGATAAAAAATGATTGACTTGCTTATATGGCTGACTCACTTATCAATTATATTAATAAGTTTATATATAAGATAATTAATATCATTATAATAAAAATAATAATATTAAAATATATTCAATATAAATAAGAAATCTATATATATAATTCAATATAAAAAAAGTTTAACTAAAAGAAAATTACTAAGTTTATTATTTCAGATACTGATTCTACTAGTTATTCAATACTATATTATTTAATTTTTGAATTTATATTATATTTATTAGCTTTATTATAATGCGGCAACTGTAATACTTCTAAGTATAAAAGAGCACACTGCTCTAATACTATAATAATTTAATATAATTTAATTAGTTATTGTTTAATTATAGATATTTCAAAATAAAATCTAGCTAAGCTAGCTGATTTATATTTTAATTAGACTTTTTTTCAACCACTCTATTCAAATCTAACTTACCATCTTTATCATGTATTTTCTCAATTATATTATTAAAATAAAGTCTAATAATGAACCTGTTATAACTGCTGCTATAGAGGATTTAAAAAATGATATTTTCAATCTGAATGAGCTAATGCTAAAGTATATAACATCTTATGAAGCACATTGAAGAGCAGAAAGAATGATTTCATTCAACAAATAATTATCTATCAATATTGATAAAATTTAACTTTAGAATAAGAAATCTTTCTAGTTCAATAAATAAAAAAGTAAGATATGCAAGAATTTTTATTCTCTCATATACATGTATAAGAAATAATAACTCAAATTCTATAAATAAATTAAGATCTCATTTAACTAAGTAAGAATTGAATAAAAAAAAAATTTTAAAATAAAATTCTATAATAAAGTATATGATTGATCAAAAGATTAAGTTTCAAAGAATAAAAAATACTCAGTAGAAAATACTTCAGTAATTCTATAATTACTTTTCTAAGATACAATAAACTCATAAAATAATTATTAAAAATATATAAATATTAATGAGTATAACATTACTTTAGAAATATATATAAATATCAAAGTGCTTATTGAGTAAAGAAAAAATAAAATTTATATTAAATCTTTTTCTAATTATGAGTGAGTTTTAATTCTTAAAACTATTAGTATTGATAAGTACTATATAAACTCTCTAGTCATTTTTCAAAATCAAAATATATAATTTAATTAATTTGAGAATGTGAATATACATAATTAAATTTATATAATATTAAATAATAAATAGATATCAAATAATATATATTTCAACTAATTATATATAATTTTTCTATCTCAAATATTTAATAAAGGTCAGTATAAATTATTAGTACTAAATGATCATGACAATCACATCACTATTAAATTTCTATGAAAATATCATATAAATTTAATTCATTTATTGTTTCTATTTGCTCATACATCTAATGTTCTTTAGCTATTAAATCTTGAAGTTTTTTCAGTCATGAAAAGCTACTGTGATGGCATAGAACAGACAGGCTTCATTTAACCTTCTCAACAATATAAGATCACTGGCTGAGATGATCAGTAATCACAACTGCCTAGACATTGGCATAGCAATCAACTCCACAATTACCCCGCATATGAATAACATATAAATGTGGGAAATGGCGCTAAGGAAAAGAGCTATATAAACAGAGCCTTCCCTGAACTCATTTCTTAGGAATCATCTTAGTATTTTATCTAGATAGCTTATCTAGCTGACAATCAAACATCTGTTTCACCTGCGTCTATATTGAAGCTGTGACAGCTACTATAGAGCTGAGATCATTGTCTTAAACTATCTGAATGATGCAGCTCCTGTGAAGAAAAGAAGATTCATACAAGTCTATGAACAAGCACATTCAAAGGCCTTAGAATCTTATAATATACATGGAGGATGGAAAGCAGCTGGTCTAGTGCCATTTAATCCTTCCAAGGAATTAGATTCCTCTCAGATTTAAGATCAAGATCAATCTAACTCTAGACTGGTGACATCTACAACCTCTCTATCTTCTGAATTGCAAGATCCCTTGCTTACAACTCTCTGAGATCCTAGACATATATATAAGACTCTGCAGCATTTGAATAAGGAGGGAATTCTTACAAGAAAGCAGCAGGTTTTTCTTTGCAAAGCTAGCAAGATGATTGACAAGTTGAATGCTTTACAAGCTGCCAGCCAGTCTACAATTTTTAAACTCTCTAATCAACTAGAAACCCTACAGTAGTCAAAAACCAAAAAGAAGATGGAAGTTGATCCAAATACCTGGTTTATCAATATAGAAAGGATTAAGAAGGCTCAAGAGGAAGCTGCTGCTCTAGAGGCTAGAAAACAACTACAGGAGCCAGAAATTGAGGCTAAAAAAGCAGCAGCAGCAGCTTTAGCAGCAGGTCTGAAAGACTGCATGTTTGAATGGCAATAAGATTGAATTTGTAGTTAAATATTTACTCAAATAGGAAGAGGGGTTGCTTTGGATAGAGGGGTCGAAAAAGGGTCTGGTCGAAATATAGACTGGCTAGCTTAGTTGAAGAATAAGATTTGCAACACCGAACCAAATCTGCAGAGGATGAGGAAGAAGAATATAATAACCATTCATAATTATGGAAGGAAGAATGAGATGAATTTGGGTAAAATCATTCAACTCCATCTTGGCAATCTATTATTGATGACGGATATTGCGTATGCATCTTCGTTCGGCGATCCTCCCATCCAGGAGAGGAGGCGAGCTACGCTATTCTGGCTATCTTGGTCATGTGAAATAGGTGGCTAGATCACGTGTAGAAGAAGATATATATATATATCCGGCCAAAGTCGTCTAACGAATTATGACTTGCAAAATTTTGAATTTTTCCAGCCCTCTCTAAATCCACCAATGTTATGTAGAACAGAGCAAAGTTGTTCAAGTACTCGGTACGGATCCTCCGTGGTCAAAACCCGACGAAATGTTAGTGTATGTAGCGGCGCCCGCCTGGGTGGCGTTGCCCTAACGACCGCCCCGCCCACACGTGATCGCTTGTATGTAATATAGCAATAACCTAGCTAGCTCCTCCGAATAGAAGGTTCAACCATCCCACAGGTTATAGCCCGGATAGCTGGTTTTTAATAAAAATCGCATTAAGAATGGCTGTGTACATGTCTGGATGAGTTCACCCTCTGATCTAATGACTGGACTACCTACTCCTTTAACAGAGAGAAAGTGATCTTTACAATCACATTCTAGAGCTGTTGGAGCATTCCCATCACTAGACAAGGACAAAGAATTAGAAGGCCTGGAGCAGGAACCAAGTTCAAACCACATCATGGATTCATCAAGCCACGAGCCTGGTGAAATGCCCGCTCCTGAGTCTATACGCGAATTCACAGCAGCTAGTGAAGGAACCTCAAGCCCCCAGTCTCAAATGCCTACTCCTAACATGAGTGGCATGATTACAATGAGTGTAGCAGATTTGTTGGCCTTTTATCAACAAATGACATGTCAGAACACTCCAAATATCAACAATGATACACCTGCAGATGATTTCAAATCTCAGATTTATGAATATCAAAAAGATGTTCAAAGAGCTATGAATACTAAGACTGTAACTACATTCAATGACACTAATTATCAAATCTAACATATGGAAATTCTTGCAAACACTGAAGTCATTGGTGAAACTGATATTCTAATCAAGAATCAACACATTTGTTCAGATGATATTAGTCAAAATGTGTTGGACACTGAAAAATAAAATATTCAAATCAAAGCACTCTATTGATGTATATTGCAATTCTTATTAAGGTCTGTATGTACAATTATTAAAGCCTTGAAACCTGACAATGCTGCTGTGTTATGGAAAAAGATTGATGTCAAATATGCAGTGTATTTGATAAAAGAACATCTTAATGTCATGAAGGAGCTGACTATTCTACATGTCAACAATGATTACTTGATATTTCAAAGAAGATTTCACTACTTAGTTGCATATCATAAGAAACTGATGAATGACTCAGAGGACTTCTATCATGATCTTTTCTTTATTGATTTGAAAGAACATCAAAAGTCTTTTGTCAAGATGTGTTTGAATGATTTCTACACGACTGGCCAGGATCTTATTAAAAATATTGACATTAATGATCTCATGAAGCAGTTAATGAATTGTATGAGCAAGTTCAATGAATATCTCAAATCTTCATGAGTCAATATGACTATCTCCTTTATGTTAAACTCTAACTCATCTGATATCACAAATTTGAATAGTTTCAAATATGAGATCTACCATTTAAATCAGCATGTTAAGGACTCTTGTTGATAATTACACCCTGAACTTGTCACTGAAGAGTGAAAAGAGGCAAATAAGAATAAGATTGTCAAGTTTATGAAAAATAGCAATACCAGTGATCACAATAAATAAAAGAGTAAAAAGAAGAATAAAAATGATAAAAAGAACAAATCTTCTGATCTTTTAGTGACACAATCTGCTGCTGTCAATGCTGTGATTGCTCTGTCAGCAATCACTGACATTATCTTCAAGTCTTGATTTCTCAACATGTGTGCAAGTTTTCATATGATAGAGAAAAAACAGTCTATTATTCAACAGAAAATCTATAATAGTGATCTCAAAATTCATATAGTAGATGACAGATATGATTATGTCAAAGAGATTGAAAATCTCATTCTAGAATCTGACAGAGAGAATATATGTAAAGGGTTAAGCTCTAAGAACTAGAGGCTAGTCCTCCTATATAACAAGGACGAATTGCTTGAGAAAGGGAAGAAAAGAATGAGATGAGAACTCGAGCTTAAGCAAGCTCGCGTAGCATGATCACGTGCGCACGTGCAAATGATGGCTAGGCTGAGTCAGCCAGCCAGAGCAAATCTAGGGGTTCAACCCCTTATATATATCTATATGTGATGTTCATTATGTTCTGAATCTTACTGTCAACTTAGTGTCTTTTGCTAAGTTGAAGGATCAGAATTTTCAATATGAACTTTCAAATTCAAACACTCTGTCCTACTTCATCATCAAAACTCTCAATGATGTTATTTTCACCACAATTTGCACAGCTCAAAGTTCAATTTATAAAATAGTTGAAAGGATGTCAGAAGTTGACACTCATCATGAGTCAAAAGCAATCTATTTCATAGCAAAATCACATATATATGATAATAATTATGCTAAGGCCTTGGCTATCACTGATGACAATGATTCTGTCAATGCTCAATCTCAATCTCAAGAATCATCTACAGCTGTGAGAACACTTGCTGAGTGGCATGTTGACCTGGGGCATATACATACAGGAGTTATTATAGCTTTGACAAAGAATTCACTATATAGTATTCACATCAAAAGCCTCAAGACTAGTTTCTTTTGTGACACCTGCGTCAAAGCAGATATGATATGTAAATACTTGATCACTTCCATACCATGAGCTATAAGGCCAATGGAATAGATTTATATTGATCTGATGAGTGATGACTGCACATTGAGTGATACAGACAATTATCCTATAGAATCTCATCAAGGCATAAAATATTTCATATTAATCACAGATGATGCAACACAATTCAGATGAATCTATTTCCTACATAGTAAAGATCAAGCATTTGATTATTATTCTCATTGAGTTAAGTTCATTAAGAATCTCAGTTTTTCAGCTCCTGCCTACATCAGGACAGATATAGACAGGGTTTTTCAATTGCAAAATATGACAATGTTAATGATTGCTGACAGTACAGTATGAGAATCAACTATCTCTCAATCACCTCATCAAGACAGTGTATCTGAACATGGCATTTACACCATTATGACATGAGCCAGAGCAATCATTATAGAAAAGGAAATTTCAAAGAAGTTCTGAATGAATATTCTAGAAACAGTTATTTCAATCATGAATAATACACTCACATCTACAATCTTATATAATAAGAAGTATTAGCCTGCAATCATAAATGATGACAGCAAGAAGTCTGTCTGTAGTTCTTATATAATTTCTTTTTCAGCATTGATGAACATGCCACTGCAGATCACTCACTTCCATGAGCTTGAATCTGATGTTTTTATTCACCTTCATGAATTGCAGAAGTCAGTGAATAAGCTGTTCACTCAGACTGAATTATGCAAACTTATTGAATTTCACAGCCAGTCAATCTATCATGTGTGAAGTTCTATCTCTAATAAGATTATTGATATATCTGACATAGTTTTCCCTACAAAAGTGCAGGAAATATAAAAGGATTCCACTACTACTATGACAATTGAAGTTGAAAACACTTTGATCCCTATCATCTATTTGATGGAGGATGATTCTGATGTTTCTTATTTTTCAGAACCACATATTCTATGAATGAGGCCTGTGAAAGTCTTTATGATATACACACCTTCTTTAATTACAGGCAGCTTGCTGAAAAGCTTCAAGGATGCAATTAATCATTCACAGATGAGATCATATTGAAGGAAATCTATACAATGCAAAATTGATGATCTTGAATGTCAGAAGACTTGAACATTAATTTCACATTCTGATATCTCTTATGATGAGCTGATGACACCTGGCCACTGAGTTTTTGTTGAAAAGAATCATTCCAGTGACCTCAATGCTGATGAAGATGGCATATTATGAAAGTTCAGATAAGTAATTTGTGACAATTGACTCAAAAAGAGAACACATCAAGAAGTATATACCTCTGTAGTTACAAATATCACAAATCACATGATATTCACAATCACTGCAAAACTTGGTTGGACCCTATGATAGATGGATATAGTGATGGTGTACTTACACAAAAGACTTGAAAAAACAGTCTATATGAGATAATCTACTGACTTTGAAGAAGGAGCTCTACATATGCTTGTTTGTGCAGTTGAAGAATCTCTATACAGGTTGAATCCAGCTGTTAAAATATAATATGATTACTTGATAGCTCTGCTACAGGAGAACAGCTTTATCTCAAGTTCTTATGACCTTACTTTTTGACAGCATTCAGCCTGAAAACATCTATATATGATCATATACATTGATAATCTTCATATTTTTGCAGATGCCATAAAGGATGCTGATTGGCTAGTTGATGTTCTGCATCAGAAGCTTAAGGTCAAAGATTTGAATGAACCTACAAAATATCTAGACATGGAAGTAAAATGTATGAATAACAGCATCAAATTGACTCTTTGACATTATATCAATTGATTGTTAGAAGATTTCTACCTGGATAATGCAACTACTGTCTAAACACTCATAGATGAGAGTCTACATTTAGATGACTCCTCTGTTTCTGAAAAAGAGGCTGATTTTACAAAACAGTGATTTCAACACAGTGTTGGCTACTTGCAGTATTTGGCAGTTAAACTGCAGCTGGATATCATCCATGCAGCTTTCCTATTGGCACAGAAGAATGTCACCTCTACCTCTAAGGCATGGAAGGCCCTATTACACATCATTCAATATTTGAAAGACACATGTGAAATCAGCATATTTTACATGAAGGATGATAATGATGAAGGACCTGAGAATGAGTTTCTGAATGTGACATATATGCTGATTGAATACACAGATTCTGACTAAGCTGATCTGTTGAATGATGATCAGAAGTCTATGTCTGACTATGTTTTTATACTTGCTGATGCACTGATTTCATGGTGATCAAGCAAGCAGCCATGCATCTCTTTGAGTTTCAATGAGACCAAATATGTGGCATTGAGTGAGGCTGTATGTGAAGCAACATGATTAAGAAGCATGATGATGGATCTGAGCTTTATAGCAGATGACTCCTTGTCAATCAAGATAGATAATAAAGATGTGATCAATCTAGTCACTGTAGCTGTGATTACTGCTAGGAGCAAGCATATTGACATGCAATTTTATTATGCCTGTAGTTAATTGAACAATGGCATTATCTTAATTGAATACATTTCAACTGAAGAAATGGCAGCAGACAGATTGACTAAACTCCTGAGCACAGTGGCATTTTAACAATTCCTTGATTTACTTGGTTTTACAGGCGGAAAAGGCAGGAATGTTAAAACTTAATGTATGTAGCATGATTTGGATGGATTTGAGGATGGCATAGCTAGTTTTTCCTTTTTCACATATGGCATTCGAGATCCCGCATGGCGATGCGAGGGGGGGTGTAGCGGCGCCCGCCTGGGTGGCGTTGCCCTAACGACCGCCCCGCCCACACGTGATCGCTGTATGTAATATAGCAATAACCTAGCTAGCTCCTCCGAATAGAAGGTTCAACCATCCCACAGTGTATCTTCAACAACCTTACAGATATAAGGTTGACGGTTCTATTGGTTGGAAAGCGGTGTGGTTGCAAACAAATCGCGGAATAGGGTTACCATTCATCATCCTTCAAACAACAACTTCAATTGATTGATTCCATACCACTTAGATTAGTCGCAGCATTAAATGGCAGAACATGGGGTTTCTGGATATGAAGCCGTGGAGGTCCCCTCATTATTCCTCCCCACAGACGACTTTATGTACGTTCTGTGGTCCTCGTCAGTGACAGGAGTGCAACAAAGGACACAATATAATCAAGCTCTGATCATTGCATGATTTAGTTGCGATGTGGACACATGTGTGGTCGTTCTTGAACAAACAAAATGAAGTTAAATATGGAATCAACGTCCATACTATTGATTTTGGCACACTTCTTTATTATCCGCAACACACATGAAACATCATCCAAAACTCTATTGAGCGGTTACTGTTTTCTCAACTTATGTTAAGGAACTCTAACCAATCATGTTCGGTACTGTTGTCGATTTCTTCATAGTCAGTTTGATGAATGCAGGGAGACTCGAGATTTCTATTTTGTTGCTTGAATAGTTACACTTGTGGTTTCACAAAGTTGAACGTCGTTTAAAAGTTGAGCCCACTTTCTTAAAAACACAATCAACTCAGGTCACCCATCTAAAATAAGCACAGTTTATTGACTCTGCACATATACCACACATACATATTGCTAAATACATCTCTATTCAACCTTACCACCCTCAACACCAGATTAGGATTAGATTAGATTAGGTTATATTAGGTTAGAATTAGATTAAGTTAGGATTAGAATTAAAATTAAAATTAGGGTTATGAAAAAATTATCTGCACTTTAAATTCACATAACTATATAAGATATTATATGAAGAAGTTGTCATATCAATTAATTATATATCATCAAGTTTGTAACAAAAGATTG